TCCCTCCCTTCCTTCCTTCCTTCCTTATTTTTTGATATATTGCCCAGGCTGGTCTCAAACTCCTGGGTCAAGTGATCCTCCTACCTTAGCCTCTTGAGTAGCTGGGATACAGGTGTGTGCATCTGTCTTCTTATAGTTCTTTTTTAAAGAACACTTTTGTGACCACAGAGGTCTCCTTCTTTCTTCTCGATGGCGGAATAAAATGTCTCTGTTGGTTGCAGTTACGGAGAAGGTTTAACAGATGTGCTTAGGACAAGAGCTCTTTGATATGAGAAACTTTTTTTCTCCCATCATTCATTTTTGGATCCTCTTCTTGGATTTTCACTTTCCGGTTCCTTTGTTGAGAATGGAGAAAGGTGTCAAAAAATAGAAATTTCCAACAAATGAAACAGACTTCTTCCAGACTACCAGAATGGGGTGTACAATAGAATGACAACCTCTTTTCTCTCATTTTGTGAGTTGCTTATTCCACCAAATTGATGGAACCCTATTCCGTAAACCGACCTGAAGAGGATGAATCTTTGGCCTGGCTTAGCAATAGTGTCCAGCAAGGCTATGAAGAACTATAATATTGATTATTCATCTCCACTTGGAGTACCACTCCTTTATGCAACATGTATACCCGGATTCTCCTCACTTTGAGACATGTCTCCCAACTCTTATAGCACCACAGAGGTTGCTGAGTGACTTATGCAATGATATGGGGGTAAATATTTAATGACTGGCCCTCCAAGGAGGACAGGCCATGATTTGTAGCATTTGCCAATTTCTGTGGTGTAAACACTGCTACTGTGGCTCACTTCAGGCTACCAATTAAAGTTGGAGGTGGGAGGAAAAGTGTGCCACTATCTCAGAGTATGAGCAAATGCAGGACCTTATTGCCTTGAGAACAGGACTTGGGGACTTCATTCAGTACTACCAGACTCAGGAGCATAGTCATGTGTCCGTTCCATTGGGCTCCTCATTTATTCTGGCCTTGATCTTCCTACAGACTGACTGCTGTCTCAGACATTTATATTCCACTCTGAGCCAAGAGAACTCCCCAGTGCTCTTTGTTTGTCTTCCTTCTTGGCTATAGCATATGTTCTGACTTGATCTTAATTTCGTTTTTGCTCTGCTTTGATGTCTTTGGAAGAACCTGTTTTATTTTTTTTCCTCATTGAGTTTATCAGTACATTTTAGCTATACAGTACAGTTACATTCATCGTTGGGATCTTGTACCTTTATAGAACCTGTTTTAAAAGTCAATCTCATGCACTAATATGAAACTGATGGTCCATAGAGATTGTACCTTATCCAGGTAATCTCTCTTGTGGCACTGTACTAGTAGTAGACAACAAGGATTCCTTATTCTGCAGTTGCTAACAGTGTTTCTTTTTTTCACAGTTGACAGGCCTGTCAGAGTGTATGCAGATGGAATATTTGACCTCTTTCATTCAGGTCATGCAAGGGCACTTATGCAAGCAAAAACACTGTTTCCCAACAGCTACTTGTTGGTAGGAGGTAAGAAGCTCATTTTCTCTTTGTCCAGAAAATTCTTTTATAATATACTTCTTGCAAAGGGCCTCTTTCAGAGTTCCTTAAGTAAAATACTACATTGTCAATGCTTCCAACCCAGCCCATACTGACTTACTTGTTCACTGCCTGAAATTTAAAATGACATTTAAAAAAACATAGTAGAAATGACATCATGAGATTGTGTACCGCTGATCCTCAGAGAAAGACAGACTAATACCACCACCAAAGGTACTGCTTTATGCTTTCCATTAATACCTTTCTCCAGGTATTTGTGGCATGATATAATTTATGTTTATAAAATTTTCCAGAGGGTCAAGAGAAAAGCTATATTGATCTGAGTCCAAGCCTTGGAGAACTGAAGAGGCTTAAGATAGTTAAGGACAAACAAGGCTTTTGTCTGTTACGGCTTGGATCTGAAATGTCCCTCCAAAATCTCATGTGTTTAGAAGGCAAATGGATCACGGGGCGCTATACTTGTTGGTGGATGGTCCACTGATGGGTTTATAGCTAACATGCTATTAGGTAGGACCTGGTTGGAGTAGGCAGACTTCTGGGAGCACGACTGGGAAGAATGTATCTCTTTCCCTGGCTCCTCCCTTCTCTGTTTCCTGGTAACCGTGTCAGGTGCAGCTTTTTGTCTGCCACACCCCCCTGTGATGACATCTCTGCCCAGAGCCAGCTGACCATGCACTGAAACTATGAGCTAAAATAAATCTCTCCTCCTTTAAGTTGCAGGTGTTGGGTATTTTGTCCCAGGGAAGCGAAAGTGACTAAAACATTGTTTATTTCCTTTGTGTGTCCCATAGCACTCAGGACAGTATTGTGCTAAAAGTAGTGGCTTCAGACAACCCTAATTCATTGAATTTATGTGCAGGGCATTAAAGAAATGGAGATTTATAAAGCAAAGTAGTCTTTTTTAAAAAAATTATATATCTTTATTGTGTGTAGTCCAATATTTTGGAATATGTATATAGTGTGAAAAGATACCTTAACCTCACATACTTATTTTTTGTGGCAGGAACACTTGAAGTCTATTCTCAGTGATTTTCAAGGATCTAATACATTGTTATTAATTATAGTTACCATGTTCTACTCTAGAACTTCCTGCTCCTACCCAACTGAAATTTTGTATCCTTTTTCTAACATCTTCCTAGCCCTCTCACCTTCTAGCATTGGTAACTACCGTTCTTCTTCCTGAATCTATGAGTGCACATTTTAAATTCCACATATGAAGGAGGTCATGCTGTATTTGTCTTTCTAGGCCTGGTGTATGCTCCCCATAGTGCCTTCCAGGTCCGTCAGTGCCATCACAAATGATAGGATTTACTTCTTTTTAAAACTGAATAGTGTTCTATGGTGTACATATGCAATATCTTTTTATCCATTTATCTGTTCATGGACACCTACATTGCTTCTGTAGCTTAGCTTTTGTAAATTATGTTGCCTTGAACATGAAAGTGCAGATGTCTCTTCAGTGTACTGCTTTCATTTCCTTCGAGTATGTACCCAGTAGTGGTATTATTGGATCAGATCATAGTCATATTTCTAATTTTTAGAGGACCTGCTATAATGTTTTTTTAACTTTAATGTAATACAAGTAGATATTAATAAAGAAAATATAAAAGCCATTCTTTGAAAAAATGTTTTTTCATAACAAAATAATTAGAGAATAACAATAGTAAATGCACTGTGGATCATGATCTTAAAAGAATATATTTTCATTTGCTAATCTCTCTCAACTCATTTTCTAATAATACTATACCTTTTTGCATAAAATATTTTAATTATTAACAAAGTATCTCACACTTGGTATAATTTTGAACAATTTCTTCCTGTTTCACAGTATCTATTATACTTTTTGGTCCTTATTTACACTTTCAGTTTCTTGCACCAGAGACAATGTGATATTTACACATGTGAGTTCAGTTTACTTCACGTAAGACTACGGCCTCAGTGTGCATCCATTTACCTAGAAATGTCTCAAGTTTATCCTTCTTCATAGCTGAACACTATTCCATTTTATATATATAAAATCTCTTATATCCATTCATCAGTTGATGGGCATTTGGATTGTTTCCCAGATTTAGCTATTACAAACTGTGCCACTATAAACATAGGTGTGCATATATCACTGTGGTATGATGCTTTTAATTCTTTTGGAAAGATACCCAGCAGGGAATCAGCTGTGTCTAATGGGACCTCTAACCCTAGTTTTTTTGAGGAATCTCCACACTGATTTCCACAGTGGTTGCACCAATCTGCACTCCCACCAACAGTGGAATTCCTCTTTCCCCACAGCCCCGCCAGTGTTTGTTGTTAGTTGATTTCTGGATAACAGCCATTCTTTCTGGGGTGAGGTGGAATCTCAGTGTTATTTTTATTTGCATCTCTCAAATGACCAGTGGTGTTGAATATTTTTTATTGTATTTATTTGCCATTTCTACTTCTTCATCTGAGAAGTGTGTATTCATCTCTGATGCTCATTATTGGATTGAGTCTTTAAATTGTGTAGGGGGCTGGTTTTTAAAAATTCTTTATATGTTCTAGATATATGTTAGTCTTTTACCTGAGGAACTACTAGTTAAAAAAATTTTTTCCCACTCTGTGGTCTGTCTTTTCACTCTGTTTGGGATTATTTTGCTGTGCAAAAGCTTTTTAATAAGGTGAGGTTCCAGTTGTTGATTCTTTGTAGTATTTCCCAAGCAGTCTGGGTTTTGTTCCCTAAATCCTTACCTAATCCTATGTCCTCAAGTGTTCTACCTATTCTCTCTCCCAGCAGATCTAGTGTTTCTGTTTTAATATTTGGGTCTTTAATTCATTTTGATTTTAGTTTAGTGCATGGTGAAAGACATGGGTCTAGTTTTAGTCTTCGGCAAGTAGAAAGCCAATTTTTCCAGCACCACTTATTAAAGAGGCTATCTTTCTTCCAGTGAATGTGTTTGGCTCCTTTGTCAAAAATAAGACTGCTGGGTGTGTTTGGGGTTCTTTCTGCGGATCCTCTATTCTATTCCACTGATCCTCAGGTCTGCTTTTTTGCCAGTACCATGCTGTTTTTGTCATATTAGCTCTATAGTGTAATTTCAAGTCAGAGATTGTGATGTTCCCCTGCTTGCCTTTGTTGCCCAGAATTGTTTTTACTATTCTGGGTCTCTTCTGATTTCAAATGATTTAGGAATGATTTCTCTAGTTCTATAAAGTGCGCTCATGGTATTTTGCTTGGCACTGCATTAAATTTATATAACAATTTTGGGAGTATGGCCATTTTCACTATGTTGGTTCCTTCTACCCATGAGCAAGGGATACCTTTCCATTTTCTGATCTCCTCTTTGATCTCCTTTTTCAGAGTACTGTAATTTTCAATGTAAAAATCTTTTACTTCCTTTGTGAGATTAATTCCTAAGTATTTCATTTTTTGATGCTATTGTGAAAGGAATTGTTTCACTAATTTCTCTCTCAGTGAGTTTGTTATTTGTGTAAAGCAATGCTATTGAGTGTTGACTTTGTATCCAACTACACTACCGAATTTGGTTATTAAATCTAGAACTTTTTTTGGTGGAGTTTTTGGGGTCTTCTATGTAAAATGTCGTGTCATCCACAAATAATGATAATTTAACTCCTTCATTTCCTATCTTTATCCCTTTTATTTCTTTCTCTTGTCTAATTGCTCTGGCTAATGTTTCCAGAACTATGTTGAATAAGAGTGGTGACAGCGGACATCCTGATTTTAGAGTGAAAGCTTTCAGGTTTTGACCATTTGATATGATGCTGGCTGTTGGTATAGCTAGGTAATCTTGTTTCACAGTGAAGGGACCAACTTACTTCCTAAACTTTCTGGAAAGAGGATGTGCATTGAAATTTTCTTCCCCCAGAAGGTCTGCCTATGTCGATATGTGTAAAAGGTAAGGTACCTGACTAGGAGATCTGCATCTTACTTTTGTAACAGTATAGCTATTCACCACAATCAGTTTTTTTTAAAGATAGTGTGTAGTCCAGGCTGGCTTTGAACTCACTAAGTAGCCCAGGTTGCCCTTGAACTCAGGACAATCCTCCTGCCTCAGTCTCCTGAGTGCTGGGATTACAAGCATGCACCACCACACACGGCATTCACCATGATCAGTTTTTATGGCACAATAAGAACTAGACCCCATCAACCCTTAGACTTCCATTGTAAGGGCAAAAAACTGCAGGTAAGAGATGGAGTATCTGGTTTTTCTTTTTGAGTATTTTATTATCTTCTGAAAATTTAAAACTGCTTTGTGGATATTGAAGAGAAACCCTTCTGCATATTTTTCTATTCTAAGGATAATGACCATGGTGATTTATTGAATGGAATTCTTTCTTTGAGTGGTGAAAGGCATTAGTTACCAAGCAAGTCCTGCCGAAGGAAGCCAAAGCAGGCAGAGAAACCAGCCTTTGCTCATTTCTCTTTACCTCAGCAGAAAACCATTTGTCAAGTAAGCCCACCACCCCCAGTCTGGTCCTAGACTCCAGGACCATGGGGAGATCCCTGCAGCATTTGGGTTTGGGGCATTTGGGCAACCTAAGGTGGTTTGGTATGGGTCACAGTTAAAATTTTCTGTACCTGTGGAGTTTTCAATTCCCACAGTTGTCCACACTGAGCCACAGTTTGTCTAAGTTTTCCTGCCTGGCACTGGCTCCTGCAGAGTTTTAGTGACAGGAAGCTTTGTCTCTCTGCCTGTGTCTCTAATTCAGGTGACATCAGTTTGTCCTGTGACCTCATTTCTCTGTTTCTGAAGAATTGTTGATTTTTCAGTTTGTTCTCCTTTTTGCTTCTCGTTGGAATGAAATGGTGATGTTTAAACTCATTACATGCCAGACCAGAAACCAGAAATCCAATATTGACATTTAAAAAAAAATAGTTTCCTAATTACTTAAATGTACCCAGTGTCATCTAAAAACTATAACAGTCTGAAATGTGCCATCATACATTTATGATATATATAACAAGCTCTCTTTTTTTGTAG